CTGACTTGTGATTGACAGTCAGTTTATCAACATCCATCGGCAATGGAAACAGTTGGTGCTGATTTCACCGAGCCAGCTGGTAGACTTCATGCTGAGCACTTGGTATGGCATTCTCTCTGGGACCTGAGAAGGTCGGGCATTTGGTTTTCAAAATACTCAGTTTAAATCTGTGCCTGGAGCCACAAGTCTGCATGGTTCCACAACCTGTGACTGACTCAGAGAATTATCTCTGCTGTGAGAGGTGACTGGGAAGAAAAGGAGAGAAAATTCAAGAGACTGGACACAAAGCCAACGCTGAGACTGACTGCATGTCATGGACACGCAGGGAGTGGCGTCCAGAAATGGTGGCTAACGGATGGGAAGGATACAGAAGTGGTGTGTATGAGCTCAACTGCAAGGGCTCCTGGTAGACCGTATGTAGTTCCTTCGCATGTGACCCTTCCTTGAGTAAAGCTAATCTGTTCAATTTCCAGGACTTTGATCTTGGCTCAGAAGTCACAGAAGCAAGAATCCTCTGTGCCTGGTAGAAATAAGTTTGTAATATTGGAGTGCATCTAGTTGCATGGTGAGCATTTGAAAATCTGTTATCAAAGCAGCAGCCTAATTAGTTAATGACAGAGATACATGTATGCGTGCATGAAAAATAGCTACATACAAATCCTTGTCATATTTAAAGTGCAGACTTTTGAGTTCATTACTATAGTTGTTTGTGTGTGTGCATCTGTGTGTGTATGTGTTTGTGCATGTGTGTGCGTGTGTGTGCGTGCGTGCGTGTGTGTGTGTGTGTGTGTGTGTGTGTGTGTGTGTACAAGAGTTGTACCATGGTGCATATGTGCAGGTCAGAGAACAACTTTCAGACATCAGTTCTCTCCTTCCACGGGGATCAAATACAGGTTGTAAGACTTAGTGGAACCATTCCCCAATTGAGCATTTGTTGTCCAATATTTAGTTTTAAGAAGTCTTTTCTCAACTATAAAGATCACCCAACATTTCATGTGGTTTTAATATTAATGTGTAAATTTTTATTGCATTTTTTGTCCATTTACTTGTTATATTCAGGGACATATATACAGGTGTGTGTGTGTGTGTGTGTGTGTGTGTGTGTGTGTGTTTTCTTCAAATGTGCTAGGCCAAGCATGTGGAGGTCAGAAGACAACTTGTCGGAGTTGGTTCCCACCTTCTACCAAGTGGGTCCTGAAAATTGAACTCAGATCTTCAGACTTGGCCAAAAATGCCTTTACACACACAAGACAACTTGACAGTTCTTTCAATATTGTCCACACTTTGTGATCTCACAGTGAGGCCAGCTTTAATTTCCTCTCTATAGAAAGATACTTTCCCTCACAGCATCCCTTAAACAGTTCAGTCTTTGTCTATGAATTCATGCTGTGGAAGTCATCTTTGTGCTTCTCGGGAGCTGATGTCTGGGTTCTGTTTGATCATGCTCTAATCCCTAGTGCCTTATTTGGAAGGTTTGATCATCTGACTCAGTGTCTTGGAAGATACTTTCCTGCCTGTTCCTTCTCGTCATAATTTTCAGGGTTTACTTAATTATTCATAGATCTTTGCTCTGCTTTGGAAGTTTTTTGTTTTCTTTTGTTTTAATTTTTTACTTTGTCAAAAAAATCCAACTGCAGTTTTCAGAGTATGTTTTCAGCGCAACTCAGGAAGAATTAGTATCTTATTGCTGTAGTCTTTTAAATTCATCAATTTATTTAAAGTGCCTGTCATGTTTCTGCTCTGGGTGATATAACTGCTCTCCATAGAGGACTTCTATGACTTAGATTAAACTACTTTCTATATTTTAGCAATTTTGCTGCTACTTTGAATAGAAACTATGTTTTTATTGTGTTACTTTTAGCTAACTTTGATCTTACCCATCTCAGAAAAACCCACAAGCAGAACAGAGAAGCTCTTTTATTATATTTTTAAATATGTAATTTTTAACTATGTGTATGGATGGGTGTGCTCATAGGGCTGTTGGTGCCCACAGAGGCCAGAGGGATCAGATCTCCTGCAGCTGGGTTACAGGTGTTGTGAGCAGCCCACTGTGGGTGCTGGGACTTAAGCTTGGGTCCTCTGTGCCTCACCTACCTTCTCTTGACAGCACCACACATACTCTCCATAAAATGACAAAACCATTAAAATCTTACAAACTCTTTTAAACAAACTGTAGGTCTTACATAATATCTGTTCCTTTTTTTCTGTTAACCCCCTTTCAATGTCCCTGTGTTGATTTCATTCAGTTATTGTAACTTTTCATTTTGATTCAATTCTTAGATTTTTTCCTTCTCCTTTCTCTCTCCTCTTATTTGTGTGTGTGTGTGTGTGTGTGTGACATGTTTGTGTCTAGTGCATGTGTATACACGTGAGGCCATAGGAGGACATCAGGCATCCTCTACAACTTCCATCTTTGATTTGAGACAAAGAGGGTCTCACTGAATCAGATTTTGTCTCTACCATCCTGTTGGGTGGCTCACAACTGCCCATGATTCCAGGTCCAGGGGATCTGACACTCTCTTCTCACCTACATAGGTCCTGCAGGCATGTAGTACCATGTACACACACACATAGACACACACAAATGAAATAACTAAATAATCTTTTAAAATATGTACCTGTGTACATGATTGAAGTGTGTGTGTGTGTGTGTGTGTGTGTGTCTCCTCTTGATTTGCATACTGGTGTGAGATTGTAGTTATACTCTTTATGTTGCCATTTTGCTTCTAACACCTTTTGTAGAAATGGACTTTCAGATGAATGTTGCTTAAATTTTATTTTATCATGACATGCTTTATTTTCTCCATCTATTGTGATTGAAAGTTCTGTTTCACACACACACACACACACACACACACACACACACACACACTTCAGATCCCCTGGAACTGGAGTCATGGACACTTGTGTGCCACCTAATATGGATGCTAGGACCGAAACCCAATTCCTGTTCAACAGCAGCACCAGCTTTTCACTGATGAGCCTTGTCTCCAGGCCTCAGATAAATCTTTTGAAAATAGTAGTACTAATGTTAACTTTGAAAACTGTCAGTAAAGTTGGGTGGTGGTGGCTCATGCCTTTAATCCCAGCACTGAGAGCCAGAGGCAGGCGGATCTCTGGGAGTTTGAGACCAGCCTGGTCTACAAGAGCGAGTTCCAGGACAGCCTCTAAAGCCACAGAGAAATCCTGTCTCGAAACACTAAAATAATAGTAATAATAATATAAAAATAAAAAAGTAAGTACTACTATTTAGTGAGTTCTGACCATGCACTTTACATACATGATTTCGTTTCACTCTGAAAAAATTATTACAGGCTGTCTTCAGTATCCATGAGTTTTACTTGTGTCCTAAACGCAGTTCTGCCTAGGTTTTATGTATCTGTATTGAAAATGAGCTACTCTTTCTTTTATGTTCTCTTTTTAATTAGTGTAACTTTGTGTTGAGTCTTTGGGACTTTCCCATGGTGCACCCTAAACCCACTCATTTCCCAGTCCTTCGATGTCCACCCTCCACCCGTGTAGACTTTCTCCTTAAAAGAGAAATTAATGATTTTAAACAAGCAAAACCACTTTGGTCCTCCATCTTTCCTGCCTCTCTCCTGCCTCCTCACTCATCTTTAGTGGCACCGGGAGCTGTGGTGTGTCATGCCCACATGGCTGTATTTGCAAATGTTCATTGCAATGAGTTGGTCTAGTTCAGGGCCTCTGGCTTCTGACACACTGGACCCTCACCGAAACATCTCTCAGATATCCTGCTGTTGCCTCTGGTCATGGAGATCCTGGGCTACGGTTCCACAGAACTGGTCCCTTCACGTGCTCTAGGAGGTTACAGATGAGGTAGATGCTAGAGTGAACCAACTCACAGCCCCAGATATGGGCCTGGGTGCTAGGTGAGTTGGTCAGTCTGGGCCTCCACCAGGATCTCCCCCCTTGGGTGAGGGACAGGGCCAGCTCTCCTATACCCTTGCCATTGAGCCAGCACTCCTGCACACAAGATGAGGTGTGGAGTAGGTGTACAATGCCACTCTTCCATTGAGACCCCTGGTGACAGGGAGGGCAGTTTCTCCAGGGCTGTTAAGAGACCGAGTCATATCAGCTCTCCAGGGAGGGGTCTTTTTAGTATTCCCCCCTCTCTCTTTCTTTCTGTGTGTGTGTGTGTGTGTGTGTGTGTGTGTGTTATGTATTTGTGCTCCTGTGCTTGTATGTAGACAGAGGTGTACCTGGAAGTCGTTCCGCAGCGTCTGTTGCTTGTTCCTGAGTTTTCCTGGCAAGGCTATGCTAGGTGACCAGTGCTACCCAGGAACCTTCCTTTCTCTGCCTTCTCAGTGCTGATATTATCAGTGTAACCCATGACACCTAGCTCTCAAAATGTGCCTTATACAAGTGAAAAGATGCTAGCATGGCAAACAACTTAACAAGTTATATCCCTATCCCCTTGTCATTATCCATTAAATAATTCAGTATAACAACTATTTATGTCATGTGTACATAATAATAGACATGCTTAGCTATCTAGATATGATCTAAAGTTTGGAAAGGATCCACGCAGACTATGCAAATACCACCACATTTTACATAATGCACTTGAGTAGCAAGAATTTTAGTGTGTGGTGGGGAGTTACTGAAACAACTCTCTGTGATTACCAAGGAATGATAGTAAAGGTACATTTTTTTAGGTAAACTAATCATATTTTTGTTTTTTAGGGTTCTTTTTGTTGTTCTTTTGTTTTGCTTTGAGACAGAGTTTCTCTGTGGCTTTGGAGGCTGTCATGGAACTAGCTCTTGTAGACCAGGATGGTCTCAAACTCACAGAGATCCTCCTGCCTCTGGCTCTCAGTGCTGGGATTAAAGGCATGTGCCACCACTGCCTGGCTACTAATAATGTTTTTCAGGTGAAGAAGCTTTTAAGAAGAGCACACACACAAAACAAAAACTAACAAAGGAAAACCTCCTGATTCTGATTACTAAGTCACGTCCCTTCACCCCTTTCAGCTGTGGCTGCCATGTCGGGGCCAAATTACTCCTTTGTGTCAGAGTTCATCCTCATTGGCTTCTCTGCCTTTCCTCGTCTTCAGACGATGTTTTTCCTGCTGTTCCTGCTCATGTACCTCTTCACCCTGCTGGGCAACCTGCTCATCATGGCCACCATCTGGAGTGAACGCAGTCTCCACACGCCCATGTACCTCTTCCTGTGCGCCCTCTCCATCTCTGAGATCCTCTACACCTTTGCTATCATCCCACGCATGCTGGCTGACCTGCTCTCCACCCTGCACACCATCGCCTTCCTGGCCTGTGCCAGCCAGATGTTCTTCTCCTTCACGTTTGGCTTCACACACTCCTTCCTGCTCACCGTCATGGGCTATGACCGCTACGTGGCAATCTGTCACCCACTGCGGTACAATGTGCTCATGAGCCCCCGGGGCTGTGCCTGCTTGGTTGCCTGGTCCTGGGTTGGTGGTTCATTCATGGGGACGGTGGTGACAACAGCCATTTTCAGCCTCCCTTTTTGTGGACCCAATGAGATTCACCATTTCTTCTGCCATGTTCCACCTCTATTGAAGTTGGCATGTGGAGAGAATGTACTTGTGGTAGCCAGAGGTGTAGGGATGGTGTGCATCACGGCTCTCCTGGGATGCTTCCTCCTCATCCTGCTCTCCTACGCCTTCATTGTGGCAGCCATCTTGAAGATACCATCGGCAGAGGGGCGGCACAAGGCCTTCTCCACCTGTGCGTCCCACCTCACAGTGGTGATTGTGCACTATGGCTTTGCCTCTGTCATCTACCTCAAGCCCAAGGGTCCTAAGTCTCTGGAAGGAGACACTCTGATGGGTATCACTTACACAGTCCTCACCCCCTTCCTCAGCCCCATCATCTTCAGTCTCAGGAACAAGGAGCTGAAGAACGCCATGAAGAAGGCTTTTCTAAGCAAACTCTACCCAGAGATAATTTAAAGACCTATAAGAAAATTCTTAGGAATAACTAAATTGGTTTATCAAATTTAACTGCTTGAGACTCCATCATTATGTGTTTACTTATGACACTTTCATGTTGGTAAAACCTTTGTGGTCCTCTGTTACGGTACATGAAAGGGTTAACACCTGTGGCTTATTTATGGATGGAAATAAGCATGAGGCGATAGAGAGAAAATAATATTTGACCTTTCTTACCTTCTGCAGGATATTATTAGTTCTCAACTTGTCTTATGTATTTCTCAGGTAGACTAATACAAGCCTCACAATACTGAACAAACCAGAATGCCGGGTTACATATTTATTGTGAGAACATTTATTGTCCTCTGTCTCCTAAAATCCAGTCACCTATTATCCCCAGCAACACATATATCTACAATGCAACAAGAAATGGAAGACTTCACCACATGCTTTTGTCTGGTTGCACTAGGTAGGCATAATCTGTAAATTGACTTAAGACAAGCTTGGAGTGGTAGGGCATGCCTTTAATCCCAGCACTCTGGAGGCAGAGGTAGGTAAATCTCTGAGTTCAAGTCCAGACTGGTCTACAGAGAGACTTCTAGGACAACAAGGGCAACAGAGAGAAACCCTGTCTCAGGAAAAAAAAATAAGTTTACTAAACACTGTCCTTTGGTCATAGCAGAAGAAAAGAAAACACCGTAAGTTTCAGAATTGCCAGGATGGATGCATAGAAGTTGCAAAGCACAGTAAGCAAAGATGGGCAAATGACTCGGTGGGGAAAGTGCTTGTACGAGTAAGTATAGGACCCAAGTTTGGATGCTAATGTCCATGTTAAAAAAAGAAGGGGGTGTGGCAGGTTGCAGCTATAGCCTCAGTGCTAGAGGTGGGGAGAAGGGACAGGAGGATCCTTGGTGCTCCCTGGCTAGGTAGCCTAGCTGAATTAGCGAAGACTAGGTTCAGCAACAGATCCTTCCAATATACGTTAAGGTGTAGTGATAGTTATCCAACACTAACTTTTGGCCTCCACATTCGTAAGTGTACCCTGCGAGCCTGTGTACATGCATGCACATACTTAGACACATAAACACACACAGATAAAGAACAGTAATGGGGCTGAGGAGAAGGCTCAGTTGGTAAGTGCTTTCTGTACAAGCATGAGGACCAAGCCTAGTTTGGTCACTGGCATCCACATGGGAAGTTGAGCATAGCAGTGTGTACTTGTAATCTCATCAGTGAGGAGGAAGAGGCAGTAGGATGGAGCTGGCTGGCCAGCTAGTACAGGTAAAGGAGGGAGCTGCAGGGTCAGTAAGAGACTCTGCAGAGAGAGGTATGCAGAGGTGGGGAGTGACACACGGGAGGAGGGACAGAGGGGGCCATGCAGGCAGAGACAGGAAAAGAGCTATAAGCGGATTCTCAGAATAAAGTGAAGAAATCTTGCGTGACTCTAGAATAGTTGTAGATAGACACTGATTTCTTCATTGTTGATTCAAGTAAAAACTCCCATTGTGAGATATTGTCTCTTCAGAGTACGGAGACCAGCAGGTAGCTCTATTGAACATAGACTGATTATGGAGCCCGGGACAGAAGTTTATGTCATGTTTCCAAAGGCTGGGTGCTTACCACTTTCTGCACCAAGAGGGACTCCATAAAGAGGATGGTATTTTAATTTGTTAAAATACACATTTGCACGTAGAGATTGAATAAAAAGGAATGACCAGTCACTACTTCTGAAGTATGAATGCAGTGTTTCTCTATTTGAGCAGCGAGTATTCAGCCTCCACCTGTGTGGAGGAGTGGAACGGCTTCACCTGACCCTGGAAACCCAGAGGCGTCCCCTTGCAGAGCATGTGCTGCACTTCCGGCTTAAGTTTTCCTTCTTTCCACTAACCAGGCACCTTCTCCTTGTGGACTCTCAGGGCAGGGACAGGACAAAGAGAACCGGCCTTCATCATATGACGAGGTGATACCTTTGCTCCAAAGATGCATGATTTGTCAAAGACCACAAAGCATCGAAGCTCCCAGTTTCCAACTTGGGTCTTTGCTGGCTACACATCTTTTCCATTCAGCATGGTTCATGAGATGTTCTTACAGGCTTAGTGGGAACAGATTCCAGCGAAACTGGGCATTCTCCATATTCAAGAGTCTAACATCTCAGAGTGTTTTATGGCACAGGTGGGCACTTGTAGCCCGCCATGCCCTGGCACATGCATCCTTCGAACACTAACGGAAGACTTCAAGTCTGAGTCCTTCATGATTTTAAATTAGGGTTTATCTTTTAGGAATTTGTCAGTAATTCCTGTGCATTGAGCTAAGATGTCCATTTCCCCAGTAACAAAGCCAGTGTGGGCGAAATGCATGTCATTTTCTTCTCTCCTTTTTACTTTTGAATTTATTATTTGACTATTTCATATACATATACAATCCATTTCAATATTGTTTACCCCCAGCTTCATCCTCTCATCCCTTTTGATAGTGTCCACCCTGTCCCATCTCCCCCTCCTCCTTCTTCTCCTCCCCCCTCCTTCCTGTAAGGAGACAGTATTTCATAGCAATCCTCTACATACATCAACGTCATTTCTCCCGTCCCCTGAGGCTTTGAGGGGAGCAGGGGGTCCCCTGTAGGACTGGGCACTCGGGGCTCACTGATTCTCAGAACTGTCACTAGTTATGAGTTGGTACAGAAACTTTTGCTGACCTTAGAAAGTTACTGCTCTAGCTAAGTTTAAGAGATGCATGAATCCATGTGTGTAACAGAAATAGAATGCAGTTTGACACTTTGTCCATTCAGTAAAACAACAGTAAGAGGTTAGTAGGCATCACAACCTATGATCTCCAGAGTATCTCATTTTCTTACAGATCCACTTGGCTCTTAACTGTATTGTTATTTGTTTGAATAGACAATTGCGATAATGGATAAATGCCTACTATGACTTGGGCGATGTCTCAGGCTAACTTGTCCTGACTTGGGTTACAAACTTTGTAATGTTAAGGTATTTACTCGATCTGTCCCTCCTTCAAACAGCTCCTGTATGATACTAGTGTGTCATCAACAGCCCCATGATAATAAAGAACCCAGACTGTTGACTTGTGTGTTTACTGTGAGAGACCTCATTGTCCTTCAAAAACATGACAAATCCACGTTTGAGGCATGCTGATCTGGCTTCCAATATTGCTTATGGATGAGATTCCCCACCTGAAAAGATCAGTACCTTACACGTACATTCCACATCTGTGTAAAGGGGATTGTACACAGTACTGGCATTTATTCTCTGAAAATGATGGATAGATTCACTAATAAAGGACAGTTGTACTAATATTGGTTCAGTTTATACAGTGGAACACAGGCAGCCATGAAAACAGTTCCATCTTGTACTTCATGGGACTCCCTCCCTCCCTGGATGCCCCATTGGATATAGCTTAATATACCATCTACAGAGGGATAATCCCTGAATTCTTATTTTTCAACATCCTTTCTTGAATGTGGAGTAGACATCTTGAATATAATGATCTATTGTAGGATATTCTGTTTTTTCTATTTTTATGTGTGAGGTATACTTGCATATCTGCACGTTTTATTGCATTTATGTACTTATGGGAGTGCTTGTATAGTTTTAAGTGGATTTCCGGAGCCATTCTCAATCACTTTTCCAACTTATTGAGGAAGGGAAACCCATTCAAACCTAGAGCTCCCTGATAGGGCTAGTCTCACTGGTTGCCTTGCTCTGGGGATCTCTTGTATCAATCTCCTAGTGCTAGGATTAATTTAGGATACCACTCTCACCAAAACTGTTGGTGGGGTTTTGGATATCCAAACTGCTGTCCTCATGTTTTTATGGCTAATTGTTCTTAAACTGCTGAGCTGTCTCCTTAGACCGTGAAATATTTTTATTGTTGTCCCTGCCACCCCCTCACATCTGAGAAAACAAATCCAGCTTCATTTTTTTGGAACATCTGATTCCTTTCGTCACACCCACCTACGTTTTCAAAGTGTGTCCACCCGTCTCTGTGTTCACTTCTTAGAGATTCTTGGCTGCACATGAGAGCCCTTCCACAGCTGCACTCCACTCTGCAGCCCGGCGGTGTACTCTTTCTCTTGGTGTTTCCTCACCTCTGTGTCCATATTGTCATGCGGCATCCCTGTGTTTGCTAGACATTGTCTTTTTCTAGCCAATGGATCAGTGACAAGTGCAGGGACTTGTTTATTTGGTCCACTTCTGTATCGGAGCATGTGATGGGCTCCCAAATGTGTGCTGGATAAATAATTGATTTAGAACACTGAGAAGTAAATCTAACCAGGCAGAACAAACTTTGTCTATTCAGCTGTTATACCTGTGAAGTAAATGTGTAGAAATGAGCTTTCTTATCCTGTGTATAGGCCTTCCCTGTCACAAGAGCCTGCCTTCTAAGACAGTTACAGGATCAAAGTGAGGTAATGTCTGTGAATATCATTGCACGGTGCTTAGCACACACACTCAAAAAATGGCACTGATCATTTAGTCATATTAGAAGTTTTACTTGAATATTTCATCAGATCAATGTGAGACAAAGAACTGTACCCTTTTATTTTTTTTTTGTTTTGTTCAAGTAATTTAATTTTTACATTCTAATTCTAGTTCCCTCTCCCTCCTCTCCTCATGTTACCCCCATTGCCCCCTTCCTCCCATCTGCTCCATAGAGAGGGTGAGGCCTCCCCTAGGAAGTCTACTAAGTCTTTCCATCATCTTATTGAGGCTGGACCAAGGCACCTCTCCACCCCCACACCCCTGTGTCTAGGCAGGGTATTTCTCCAAATAGATCCCACAAGCCCAACACCCTCTTCTGGCCTCTGCAGACACTAGCTTACATGCACAAACCTGTACACACACACACACACACACACACACACTTAAAAATGAAAATAAACTTTAAAAAACAAATAAAATTGTGACCCAGTAGTACATTTAACAGGGAATATATGATGTAAGCATATAAGAAATGTATATAGTTACATATACATATATCACTTATAGTTTATATATGTGTTATATATAACACACATATATGTTTATTATACATAACACAACTGTGTAGACAGACCTCTACTTACATGGGCTCCACGTCCTTAGATTTAACAAAATGCAGACTGAACATATTAAACATTTCATTTATTTATTTATGTGTTTGTGATATGTATACGTGCTGTATGACTCTGAAAATGTAGAGGGACAACTTGCAGGAATAAATTCTCTCCTTCCATCAAGTTCGACCAGAGATTAATCCAGGGCATCAGGTGAAACAGTAAGCACTTTTACCCAGTGAACCATTTCACTGGCTTTGAACATGTAAAGTGGCATCCATACGATTTTCTGGTTATTGCCTAAACACTGTAGGATATTAACTATGAACACAGTGCTTATATTGCATTACCCTTTCCAAATAATATACAGGTTATAAAAGTGTATGGACTGTTCTTGCAAATGACACTACTTTATATAAAGAATTTGAATATTTTCAGAATTTGATATTTGGCAGGAGTATCCGAGCATCAGGCCTCAGGGATATCCATGAGTTGTTGTATTAATTAATAGGTGTAATAAATTTTGACAAGATATAAGCAAACTACAATGATTGGTTCTAATAGAGGAGGTGAGCCATTGGGAGATGTCCCGGGGAGCTGTGGTAAGACAAGAGAAATATACCCTTGTGTTGGAGCCTAGAATTCCATCCACAACAAGCCCTTTGGGTCAGTGTGGAAAGACAGCAGAACAGTGGATGGAAGCAGCTTGTCTCCTCTCCCAAGCTGGCCTTGTTCTCAAGCAATCAGTTTCCAAACGCTTAGCTCCAATTAGTTCAGGAAGGGTTGTTTGAAAGTCTGGGGACCTCCATGTCAACAGGCCTGTCTTGGTGCACCTGCCCTTTAGTTACTTCTCTGGGCTCTGCCTTGGGGGACCAAAGAATGCACAGAGGGAGCCATTAAGAAGGCAGTCAGAGCAAACAGTAAAGAATGCAAGGAGTGTGGGATTCAAAAATTAGAAGCTGATTAGCAGTGAGATGAAGACTGGGCTTTTGGGTACTGGTGGGAATTACCAATGTTAGCGGTCAGAGTCGAGGGTTATCTCCTCTCCTACAGTATGTGGGTAGTCATTTTCCCAAGACTTTGCTGTGTTTACAGACTTAAAATTTCTTTATTTACTCATTCTATCAGTAGAAAATTAATTATGGCTTCTATTTATATTCTGTGGGGACAAAAAAATGTAAGCACTTGTCATCTTTTGGGGGAGGTTAGCAGAAGAGACAGTGGTCATGAGTACTCAACTTAGAGACACCAAAACTTCCAGGAAACAACATAAACCATGTTAAGTATAATCCTTTCCACTGCATATTTTACTCACTTTTTAAATTATACATACATACACAATTATACACACATATATGTGGCATACAGTTTGATAATTTGATGCACATAAAATAAAAGCTAATTTGTGATGACATTGTCTCACGTGTCCTAGTCCATCCTCACACTTCCTATGTCGTTGAGGATGTCCTTGAACTCAATATCTTCCTGCCTCCATTTCAGAAATTCAGAAATTACAAGCATGTGTCACTATATCTAGTGAAAAACCATTTAAGAAATCCACATGAACCGGTATGTCAACATTTTAAATGAAGAAGGAATAGCATGCATCCCTTTTTAAGTCCTCCTCTCCCTGACCTCACTGTAGAAATGTGATATTCATTCACTAAACCTTTTGTCTATTTTAAATTTATATGGCAAGTAATACTAACTAAGCAAATAAAATGATTTGTTTCAATTTAAAAAACTAAATTTCATGTGTTTGTGTGTGCGCATATGTGTGTGTGTGCATACGTGCATACAGGTGCATGTGAACAGTGCAGAAGACAACTTGCAGAAGTTAGTTTTCTTCTTCCACCTTCTGGGTTCCAGGACTAGAACTCAGATCGTCAGGCCTGATATCAGTACCTTTACCAGCTGAGCCATCTTGCTGGCCCAAGGTTTGCTTTACCTTCATAGAAATTGATATTTATCCAATTAAACAACTAGATGGCTTATTCTCTAATGACCACAGGGAATAGTGGTGAAGCTTCTAGAGTGCCAGCCACATGTGGTGGCAGATGCCTTTAATCCCAGCACTTTGGAGGCAGAGAGAGGAGAATCTCTTAAGCTCAAAGTCAGCCTGGTATGTAGACTGAGTTCTAGGACAGACCACCACACAGAGAAACCTTCTTTCAAACACAACCAAACAACAGCAGCAAGATGTGTTTCTACGGTGTAACTAACAAGCTGCTACTTTGCTGTCACGGCTTTCACCAGAGGAACATTAACTATACTCCAGGACTTGTGCTGGCCACTTAGCTGTCCTCGATGGTGACAATTCCAGGCATTGATGTGTATGCAAGCCTAGCATCTGAAAGCCTTCATGTCTTAGAGGGAAAGCAAAGAATGCCCCTCTCCTGAGTATTGTCACTTAACCCCTACAATTTCTAATATAACCAAAGAACCTGCCTTTAATTTTAAAAGCATTCATTTACTATTTCGAGGCATTGTGGGTGGAGGAGAGATGCTGTGGCACACCTATGGAGGTCAGAATATAGTTTGTGGGAGTAAGTTCTCTTCTTCTACCATGTGAGTCCCATGAATCAAACTCAGACTCAGTAGCCAAGTATTTTTACCTCTAAGTCATCTCATTGGTACAAAAATCTGCATGTAGAAGAGGACATGGCTATTTTTAGGGTAAACAATTTGGTACAGCTTAAGCATTCCGAATATGAAAATCAAAATCTGAAATGTCCCATGCTTCCACAGGTGGAAATTTCCACATTTGACTGTGTGATGGGTCACACAGCCTAGATGTAGTTACACTAAAACTATAGCAGGAAGTTGCACTAGATTTGTGCCTATAAGACATAAATGTATTTTATATTTACATTTTGGTCCTATCCCCATGATATTTTACTACGTTTATGGACATATTCTAAGATCTAAAAAAAGTGTCTGACATTTTAGATAACAGAAACTTTTCCTATATTTACTCAAGATGCTCTTTTTTTATATGTCATTGCATCTACAACCTCCCCCTTAAAACATGAGAAACAGCTTGTCTAAACTTACAATGTGCCTCCTCAATCTTGCACACTGAACATTTCTTTCCAAATCATGATGAGAGTATGCCCCTGCATTTTTATCTTATTTGGTTAATGCATTCCAGATTTTGTCTCTTGTTCTCAGTGTAGAAAAGACTAGCTTCCCTGACTAACAATCCATGAGAAACATGTGTCTAATACTCAGCTCCTACTCCAAGAATAAGTTCAATTCTTGTTTTGTAGTTTAGTAGATAAGACTTTAGCTAACTGTCTTAATCTCTTTATAACTTATCTTGCTCATCTTCAAAATGGGACTAATAATACTACTCCTCTGTAAAGTAAAACAACTCATATGTTTTTCTTTGTTATACTTAAGGTCTCTCATTCTGTGGAATTGAAATAACTGAAATCAAAAGCCCAGTAAGGCTGGGCGTGTAGCTCACTGAGCTATAATGCACTATAGTTCTACAGTCTAGCTATAATTGTACAGGTAAGTAGAATGCTTGCCTACCACACAATGCCCCCTTGGTTTGGGTATCAGCAATGAAAATTTTAATTGAAATAAAGACACTAGCGAAATGTCTCCAGTGAGGAAATGTGCTAGGAAGGAGAGTCCTGAACTTGAACCCAGAAAGATGGAGGAGAACTCACTCTTCAAAGTTGTCCTCTGACCTCCACTTCATGGTATGCACTCCTCTTCACACACATACACACAATAAAAATCATAATATTAAAATGTGAAAGCATATGAAATCCATTAATATATACCAAATTGGCTATAATAAAAAAGTTAAGAAATAGCGAAGACTTGTCAAGGATGTGGAGAAATCAGAACCCACACACCCAGCTGGTAAGACCATAAAATGAGGTAGTTACGTTGAAAGACCCAATGGTGGATCTTCAAATAATTAAGCATAAGTATACTTTATCACCAATAAATTCCATAAAAGTAATGAAGACATACATTTATAGCAGCATAATTTGTAATAGTCCAAAAGGGGAAGATAATGTAAATGTTCACCAATTGTTGGGTGAATGTAGACTACTCAATCAATGGAATAGCTTGAATCCATGTAAACAAAGCACTAGTCCACACTACAATATAGATAGATGAATCTTGAAGACATGATGTTGCATAGAAAGATCCATCATAAAAGATTATATATTGTGTGATTCTACATATTTAGAAAATCTAAAGTCACAAATTTACAGATGCAGTACAATAGCGGTTATGAGAGACTGACGGAAACAGATGGTTGAAGGTTAAGAGTTTCTTTTAGGTTGAAGGGGTAGTTCATTCATAAATTGATTGCCTCACAAGTTTGAAGATATGAGTTTGAGCCCCAGTATTCACCATGAGGGGTGGCATGCGCTTGTAATTCTAACCCTCATGAGGCAGAGACAGGAGGATCCCTAGCCTTGAAGGCCAGTCAGCCTATCACACAGATTCAGCGAGATACCCTGTCTTAAGAATACAAAGTAGGCAATTACTAGGCAATGGTGATATACATTTCTAATCCCAGCACTTGGGAGGTGCAGGCAGGCAAATCTTTGAGTTAGAGGCCAGTCTGATCAACAGAGTGAATTCCAGGTCAGCCAGGGCTACAGAGAAAAACCTTCTCTCCAATGTTCCCTCCCTCTCTCCAAGAAAAAAGGTAGACAGTATTCCTGAGGTTGTCCTCTGGCTTCATGCATCCATGTACACCAGAACATACACAAACGCAGAAGATCTCTCTTCCCCTCACCGCTCTTTCACAGCCTCACTATGTAGTTCAGGCATGCCTTTACCTCATAGTGCAATCCATGCTGGTCTTGCTGTTGTTGTCTTCAGTAGCCTCCCAAGCACTGAGATTATATTTGTACAAGACTGGACTCAGCCAGGATTCAGAGAAGGAGGTATTAAACCAGGTAATGAGGGTTCTAAAGTGGCAGCTTCTGGTTGTGCAAACCTTAAAATGGTAAGTTATGTGTTATGTTACATTTGGGATGGAGATGCCTCTAAATAACTATTAAGCAGTAAGAAGGAACAAGGAGGAGTGAGGGGAGGAGAGATGAAGGGGAAAAGAGAGAAAAGAGGTTTGGAGAAGAGAGAAGACGAGGAAGAAGAAAGAGAAACAGATAATGGAAAGACAGAGAGAGAACAAGAGAATTTCTCTCTACCATATTCCTTCCAGAAAAAGTCTCTTCAGTTTTGCAGAAATAATTTGGTGAGGAAAGCCTTCTTCATGGTTTCCTTCAGCTCCTTGTTCCTGAGACTGAAGATGATGGGGCTGAGGAAGGGGGTGAGGACTGTGTAAGTGATACCCATCAGAGTGTCTCCTTCCAGAGACTTAGGACCCTTGGACTTGAGGTAGATGACAGAGGCAAAGCCGTAGTGCACAATCACCACTGTGAGGTGGGACGCACAGGTGGAGAAGGCCTTGTGCCGCCCCTCTGCCGATGGTATCTTCAAGATGGCTGCCACAATGAAGGCGTAGGAGAGCAGGATGAGGAGGAAGCATCCCAGGAGGCCCGTGATGCACACCAGGCCTATGCCCTTTGACACTTCCAGGACATTCTCTCCACATGCCAACTTCAATAGAGGTGGAACATGGCAAGTAAAATGGTGAATCTCATTGGGTCCACAAAAAGGGAGGCTGAAAATGGCTGTTGTCACCACCGTCCCCATGAATGAACCACCAACCCAGGACCAGGCAACCAAGAAGGCACAGCCCCGGGGGCTCATGAGCACATTGTACCGCAGTGGGTGACAGATTGCCACGTAGCGGTCATAGCCCATGACGGTGAGCAGGAAGGAGTGTGTGAAGCCAAACGTGAAGGAGAAGAACATCTGGCTGGCACAGGCCAGGAAGGCAATGGTGTGCAGGGTGGAGAGCAGGTCAGCCAGCATGCGTGGGATGATAGCAAAGGTGTAGAGGATCTCAGAGATGGAGAGGGCGCACAGGAAGAGGTACATGGGCGTGTGGAGACTGCGTTCACTCCAGATGGTGGCCATGATGAGCAGGTTGCCCAGCAGGGTGAAGAGGTACATGAGCAGGAACAGCAGGAAAAACATCGTCTGAAGGCGAGGAAAGGCAGAGAAGCCAATGAGGATGAACTCTGACACAAAGGAGTAATTTGGCCCCGACATGGCAGCCACAGCTGAAAGGGGTGAAGGGACGTGACTTAGTAATCAGAATCAGAAGGTTTTCCTTTGTTTTTGTTTTCTGTGTGTGCTCTTCTTAAAAGTTTCTTTACCTGTAATAATATGATTAGTAGCCAGGCAGTGGTGGCAAATGCCTTGAATCCCAGCACTCAGGGTCAGAGGTAGGCAGATCTCTGTGAGTTTGAGACTAAACTCGTCTACAAGAACTAGTTACATACAGCCTCCAAAGCCACAGAGAAACCCAATCTAAAAAAAACACAACAAAATGAAACAAAACAAAAACAAAAACCCCGTAAAAAACAAAAATATGATTAGTTTACCTGAAAAAAATGTACTGTTACAGTCATTCCTTGGTAGTCACAGGGTGTTCATTCTATAACTCCACACCATACACCAAAATTTTTGCTACTCAAGTGCATTATGTAAAATGTGGTGTTATTTGCATGGTCTGTGTGGTTCCTCTCCATACGTAAGATCATTTCTAGATAGCTAAGCATGTCTATTATTATGTACACATAACATAAATAGTTGTTATACTGAATTATTTAATGGATAATGACAAGGGGATAGAGATATAACTTGTTAAGTTGTTTGCCATGCAAGCATCTTTTCACTTGTATAAGGCACATTTTGAGAGCTAGGTGTCATGGGTTACACTGATATTATCAGCACTGAGAAGGCAGAGAAAGGAAGGTTCCTGGGTAGCACTGGTCACCAAGCATAGCCTTGCCAGGAAAACTCAGGAACAAGCAACAGACGCTGAGGAATGACTTCCAAGGTACACCTCTGTCTACATACAAGCACAGGAGCACAAATACATAACACACACATACACACACACACAAACACAAACACACAGACACAGAAAGGAAGAGAGAGGGGGGAATATTAAAAAGACCCCTCCCAGGAGAGCTGACTCTGATTTGGTCTCTTAACAGCCCTGGGGGAACTGCCCTCCCAGTCACCAGGGGTCTCAATGGAAGAGCTGGCCCTGTACACCTACCCCACACCTCACCATGTGTCTAGGAGAGCTGGCTCCATGGTAAGGGTATAGGAGAGCTGGCCCTGACCCTCAGCCAAGGGGGGAGATCCTGGTGGAGGCCCAGACTGACCAACTCACCTAGCACCCAGGCCCATATCTGGGGCTGTGAGTTGGTTCACTCTAGCATCTACCTCATCTGTAACCTCCTAGAGCACGTGAAGGGACCAGTTCTGTGGAACTGTAGCCCAGGATCTCCATGACCAGAGGCAACAGCAGGATATCTGAGAGATGTTTTGGTGAGGGTCCAGTGTGTCAGAAGCCAGAGGCCCTGAACTAGACCAACTCATTGCAATGAACATTTGCAAATACAGCCATGTGGGCATGACACACCACAGCTCCCGGTGCCACTGAAGATGAGTGAGGAGGCAGGAGAGAGGCAGGAAAGATGGAGGACCAAAGTGGTTTTGCTTGTTTAAAATCATTAATTTCTCTTTTAAGGAGAAAGTCTACACGAGTGGATGGTGGACATGGAAGGACTGGGAAATGAGTGGGTTTAGGGTGCACCATGGGAAAGTCCCAAAGACTCAACACAAAGTTACACTAATTAAAAAGAGAACATAAAAGAAAAGGGCAGCTCATTTTCAATACAGATACATAAAACCTAGGCAGAACTGCATTTAGGACACAAGTAAAACTCATGGATACAGAAGACAGCCTGTAATAATTTTTTCAGAGTGAAACGAAATCATGTATGTAAAGTGCATGGTCAGAACTCACTAAATAGTAGTACTTACTTTTTTATTTTTTATACTATTATTACTATTATTTTAGTTTTTCGAGACAGGATTTCTCTGTGGCTTTGGAGGTTGTCCTGGAACTCGCTCTTGTAGACCAGGCTGGTCTCAAACTCCCAGAGATCTGCCTGCTTCTGGCTCTCAGTGCTGGCATTAAAGGCATGAGCCACCACCACCCAACTTTACTGACAGTTTTCAAAGTTAATATTAGTACTACTATTTTCAAAAGATTTATCTGAGGCCTGGAGACAAGGCTCATCAGTGAAAAGCTGGTGCTGCTGTTAAACAGGAATTGGGTTTTGGTCCTAGCATCCATATTAGGTGGCACACAAGTGTCCATGACTCCAGTTCCAGAGGATCTGAAGTATGTGTGTGTGTGTGTGTGTGTGTGTGTGTGTATGTGTGTGTAACAGAATTTTCAATCACAATAGATGGAGAAAATAAAACATGTCATGATAAAATAAAATTTAAGCAACATTCATCTGAAAGTCCATTTCTACAAAAGGTGTTAGAAGCAAAATGGCAACATAAAGAGTATAACTACAATCTCACGCCAGTACACAAATCAAGAGGACACACACACACACACACACACACACACACTTCAATCATGTACACAGGTACATATTTTAAAAGATTATTTAGTTATTTCATTTGTGTGTGTCTATGTGTGTGCGTGTGTGTGTGTGCATGGTACTACATGCCTGCAAGACCTATGGAGGTAAGAAGAGAGTGTCAGATCCCCTGGACCTGGAATCATGGGCAGTTGTGGGCCACCCAACAGGATGGTAGAGACAAAACCTGACTCAGTGAGACCCTCTTTGTCTCAAAGCAAAGATGGAAAGTGATAGAGGATGCTGATGTCCTCCTATGGCCTCACGTATATACACATGCACTAGACACAAACATGCCTCACTCACACACACACACACACACACACACACACACACACAAATAAGAGGAGAGAGAAAGGAGAAGGAAGAAAATCTAAGAACTGAATCAAAATGAAAAGTTACAATAACTGAATGAAATCAACACAGGGACATTGAAAGGGGGTTAACAGAAAAAAAGGAACAGATATTATGTAAGACCTACAGTTTGTTTAAAAGAGTTTGTAAGATTTTAATGGTTTTGTCATTTTATGGAGAGTATGTGTGGTGCTGTCAAGAGAAGGTAGGTGAGGCACAGAGGACCCAAGCTTAAGTCCCAGCACCCACAGTGGGCTGCTCACAACACCTGTAACCCAGCTGCAGGAGATCTGATCCCTCTGGCCTCTGTGGGCAACAAGAGCCTTATGAACACACCCATCCATACACATAGTTAAAAATTACATATTTAAAAATATAATAAAAGAGCTTCTGTGTTCTACTTGTGTTTTTTTTTGAGATGGGTAAGATCAAAGCTAGCTAAAAGTAAAACAATAAAAACATAGTTTCTATTCAAAGTAGCAGCAAAATTGATAAAATATAGAAAGTAGTTTAATCTAAGTCATAGAAGTCCTCTATGGAGAGCAGTTATACCACCCAGAGCAGAAACATGACAGGCACTTTAAATAAATTGATGAATTTAAAAGACTACAGCAATAAGATACTAATTCTTCCTGAGTTGCGCTGAAAACATACTATGAAAACTGCAGTTGGATTTTTTTGACAAAGTAAAAAATTAAAACAAAAGAAAACAAAAAACTTCCAAAGCAGAGCAAAGATCCATGAATAATTAAGTAAACCCTGAAAATTATGAGGAGAAGGAGCAGGCAGAAAAGTATCTTCCAGGACACTGAGTCAGATGATCAAACCTTCCAAATAAGGCGCTAGGGATTAGAGCATGACCAAACAGAACCCAGACATCAGCTCCCAAGAATCACAAAGATGACTTCCACAGCATGAATTCATAGACAAAGCCTGAACTGTTTAAGGGATGCTGTGAAGGAAAGTATCTTTCTATAGAGAGGAAATCAAAGCTGGCTTCCCTGTGAGATCACAAAGTGTGGACAATATTGAAAGATCTGTCAAGTTGGCTTGTGTGTGTAAAGGCATTTTCTGCCACGTCTAAAGATCTGAGTTCAATTTTCAGGACCCACTTGGTAGAAGGTGGGAACCAACTCCTACAAGTTGTCTTCTGACCTCCACATGCTTAGCCTAGCAAATTGGAAGAAAACACACACACACACACACACACACACACACACACACACACACACCTCTGAATATAAACAAGTAAATGGACAAAAATGCAATAAAAATTTACACATTAATATTAAAACCACATGAAATGTTGGGTGATCTTTATAGTTGAGAAAAGACTTCTTTAAAACTAAACATTTGACAACAAAAGCTCAATCGGGCAATGGTTCCACTAAGTCTAAGAACCTGCATTTATCCCCGTGGAAGGAGAGAACTGATGTCTGAACATTGTTCTCTGACCTCCACATATGCACCATGGTAAACACTCTTGCACACACACACACACACACACACACACACGCATGCACACACACATATGCACCATGGCACACACTCTAACACACACACAAACACACAACACACACACACGCATGCAGGCACATATATGCACAAACACACACAGGTTCACACACAAATAATTATAGAAATGAACTCAAATGTCTATACTTTAAGTATGACAAGAATTTGTATGTAGCTATTTTTCATGCACACATACATGTATCTCTGTCATTAACTAATTAGGCTGCTGCTTTGATAACAGATTTTCAAATGTTCACCATGCAACTAGATGCACTCCAATATTACAAACTTATTTCTACCAGGCACAGAGGATTCTTGCTTCTGTGACTTCTGAGCCAAGATCAAAGTCCTGGAAATTGAACAGATTAGCTTTACTCAAGGAAGGGTCACATGCGAAGGAACTACATACGGTCTACCAGGAGCCCTTGCAGTTGAGCTCATACACACCACTTCTGTATCCTTCCCATCCGTTAGCCACCATTTCTGGACGCCACTCCCTGCGTGTCCATGACATGCAGTCAGTCTCAGCGTTGGCTTTGTGTCCAGTCTCTTGAATTTTCTCTCCTTTTCTTCCCAGTCACCTCTCACAGCAGAGATAATTCTCTGAGTCAGTCACAGGTTGTGGAACCATGCAGACTTGTGGCTCCAGGCACAGATTTAAACTGAGTATTTTGAAAACCAAATGCCCGACCTTCTCAGGTCCCAGAGAGAATACCATACCAAGTGCTC